GAGTGCAATGGCGTGACCTCGGCTCACTGCAACCTCCATCTCCCGGGTTCAAGCAATTCTCCTGCCTCAGCCTCCGAGTAGCTGGCATTATAGGCACCCGCCGCCATGCCTGGCTAATTTTTTGTATTTTTAGTAGAGGTAAAGTTTCACCATGTTGGCCAGGCTGGTCTCAAACTCCTGACATCAGGTGATCCACCCATCTCAGTCTCCTAAAGTGCTGGGATTATAGGCATGAGCCACTACACCTGGCTAATTTTTGTATTTTTTAATAGAGGCAGGATTTTGCCATGTTGGCCAGGCTTGTCTTGAACTCCTGACCTCAGGTGATCCACCCACCTCAGCCTCTCAAAGTGCTGGGATTACAGGCATGAGCTACCACACCTGGCCTTATTATTTTTAAAACTAGAGGCGGGGTCTCACTATGTTACCCAGACTGGTCTCCAACTCCTGGGCTCAAGTAGGATAAACTACACACCAGAAGAACAGTTTTTTTTTTTTTTTTAGCTCCTTTCCCTTTTACTGTAAGGGACCTCCTTTCAACTTTATTTTTATGTTGGCCATAAAGACTGAGAATGATATATGATGAAGTACTAAGTTAATTTTAGTAAAATTTCATTATAACAGAATAATACTCTTTGGAGATCATAGAAAAGTGGTTTTATCCATTTTAATAAGGTACTAATTCTTACATATTCAGATGTATGCTTCTAATTTTCACCATTAATGTGAGTCAGCATACTTTTCATTCATTCTGTTAAAGAAATAGATGTTAGATATTTACCTCATAAACTTAACGATGCTGTGTTTTCTTCAGATCGGTCATTGAAAGCTACTGTTCCTTGGTACAGTAATTGGAATGACACATTGCTGGAGTTGAAAGTCTTTGTTATATACGGGGATTTCTTGTGATGGTCTCAGTTTTCTAGATTTTTCTCGCTTACTTCGTATCTATTGTCTTTTTTTCCCACTTAGGTACTATTTTGTATTTGTCCCAATTGACATGTCTAATTTTTCTAAAATGAGGAAAGTTTAATGATGCTTTTTCAACTTTTATCTATTTTATCATCCATTATCCTGTTTACTCTTACATGTTTATCTATTAAATCTAAGCATTGTCTTTGAATGGTATATTTTGGGCTGCATCTTATTTTAAAAGGAAGGAAGACCATATTACCTTTCCTTACCAAAACAGTACACTCTGCATGTGGTTTTTTTTTTTTTTTTTTTTTTTTGAGGCAGGGTCTCATTGTGTCACCCAGGCTGGAGTGCAGTGGCTCCATCTTGGCTCACTGCAACCTTTGCCTCCTGGGCTCAAACGATCCTCCTACCTCAGCCTCCCGAGTAGCAGGGACTACAGGTGTGGGCAACCATGCCTGGTTAATTTTGCATTTTTTGTAGAGATGAGGTTTTCTCATGTTGCCCAGGCTGGTCTCGAACTCCTGGGCTCAAGTGATCTGCCTGCCTCGGCCTCCCAAAGTACTGGGATTATAGGCGTGAGCCACTGAACATGGCCAGAAAACTTTAGTAGGAAAACATGGTTGCTATTTCAATTCTGGACAAAGAACATGTAGAGATGGAAAGGGGTATGAGGAAAATAGTGATTTTTATCCCAAGATAAGTGCAAGAACATTTTTTCTTCTTTGTTCGTTTTGAGCCAAGGTCTAGCTCTGTCGCCCAAGTTGGAGTGCAGTGGCGCCATCTCAGCTCACTGCAGTTTTGACCTCCTGGGTTCAAGCGATCTTCCCACCTTAGCCTCTCGAGTAGCCAGCACTACAGCCTAATATCCCACTCCCGAGTAATTTCTGTACTTTTTGTAGAGACGGGGTTTACTGTGTTTCCCAGGCTGATCTCTGACTCCTGGGCTCCAGTGATCCCTCCGCCTCAGCCTCCCAAAGTGCTAGGATTACAGGTGTGAGCCACTACACCCAGCCACAAGCTACCAGTTACTACTAGTATTTAGAAAGTTATTATTTCAATTTAAGAGTATGTCTGTGTATGTCTGTATGTGTATGTATTTTGCTTTTTAATTTATTTTTCATTATGTGTACATTCACATAGTTTCAAAGTCAAAACTATATAAAGCAAGATAGAGAGGAGGCTTGTCCTCTATTCATGTCCCTTCTTTTTTTTTCCCTCAAACACGTAGACCTATTTAAAACGCAATAAAAATCTAATTACAGTTAACTCTTTTAGTACTTTTATGATGAACTTTAAGAAATAAATGACAGTTTGGGGTTTCATTCTTCTTTTGTCTTAAAGAGGCAGAAGCACTCATGTAATATAGTTTTCAAAAGATCTTTTGCGTAATTAGGGGGAACAATTGATACATTTGATTTTATTCAGTTTTCAGGCAATAAGAAAGCGCCATAAACATTTTGAATTTCCCTTTCATTTCTTCCTCTAAATATATATGTAATTGGATAATTTCATCCTGAGAGTAAAACCCAGATACAAGAAAATCAAAGAGTAATGAATGAAATATTTAATCAGATTCCCTTTTCCAGAAGGTGAAATGAGAAAGCTACATTATACATTGCAGAAGGCTCCAAGGCTGACAATGTGGATTAGAGGCTTTTCTGACTGAATCAAATCTCAAAGATAGGTTTTTTTTTTTTTTTTTTTTTGAGACGGAGTCTCGCTCTGTCATCCAGGCTAGAGTAATGCAGTGGTGCGATCTCCGCTCACTGCAGCCTCCATCTCCCGAGTTCAAGCCACTCTCTTGCCTCAGCCTCCCGAGTAGCTGGGATTACAGGCATGCATCACCCCACCCACTCAGATTATTTTGTATTTTTAGTAGAGACAGGGTTTCTCCATGTTGGTCAGGCTGGTCTCAAACTCCCCACCTCAGGTAATCCGCCCGCCTCAGCCTCCCAAAGTGTTGGGATTGCAGGCGTGAGCCACCGCGCCTGGCCTAAAGATCTCTTTATTCTACAGGACTTGGTAGATCCCTCTCCTTTCTTATCTATCTCCTTTCTTTTCTCTCTTGTATAGATAATTAAATGTAGTAGATTTATTCTATTACTTCTCTTTGAAACTATAAGCAAATATAGGTATGGCTGTTCATATTTTCCTTTTCTTGCACAAAAATGCATACTTTTCTGCTGTCGCTTTTTTCACTTAATATATCTGGAAGAGCACTTCGTTGTAATATGTAGAGATTTCTCCCCGTTCTTTTACAGCTGCTAATGTATCTTTTTAATGGATGGGCCATAATTTATTTACACCTCAAGAGAATGCTGGGACTCAAGATGTGCACCACCACGCCCAGCTAATTTTTTTTTTTTGAGACAGAGTTTCGCTCTAACATGTTGGTTTCACCATGTTGGCCAGGCTGGTCTCAAACTCTTGACCTCAAGTGATCCGCCTGCCTTGACCTCCCAAAGTGCTGGGACTACAGGCATGAGCCACCGTACCCAACCTCCAAAGTGTTAGGATTACCGGTGTGAAGCATCATGCCCTGCCTATTTCCTGTTTTATAACAATGAACATGAAATCGTGATAGTAGTTGCTCTCCTAATCAGACTATATGTAATATATGGGTCATTCTCATGAGGCATTGGCTGGAGTTAAAATTTCTGTGTATTTGGAACCAGGTTAGAATGCTATTTGGTTAAGATGAATGACTTTTTCTTCAGCCCTTCCATTTGTTTAATATAGTATTATAATGTAAGCAGAAAGAATATATTTGCTGTTTTCAGTGGTTAAGATGAAAGCAAAAGGAATATGAAGTTTGATAATCAGCATAAATCAGCATAGGAATGGAGTCCTTTTAGTAAAACTGTGATATAGATAATCTGCTTAAAACCTAATGAAACCACTAAGTTTTACATAAGTTCAAATAAAAAGAATAGTTGTGATACAAAATACTTGATGTGGAACAAGAGAGTTGACTTTTTAAGAATCAAATTATATACGTTTATACAAACAGTGAAAATACACTTCTTGTATTTGATTATAAGGTAAGTGTACTTTGAAATTTCATTCAGAGGCTTTGTTAGTGTCATATTCAAGTAATCAAATTACAAAGTAAGATTTATCAACCATACCACCATTTACATTTTGAGCTAGATACTTCTTTATTGTGGGGACTGTCTTGTCTTGTCTTGTGAGATGTTTTGCATTATACCTGACCTCTTTGATGCCAGTAGCATAACCCACCTACCCCAGAACCGATAACGAAAAATATCTTGAGAAGTTGCCAGATGTTTCCTAGGGGTCAAAATCATGCTCAGTTGAGAACCTCTATGCTGAGTGTTATTTCTGAAAAGGATCTACTTATGGCAGTGTGATTAGTGGCAGGGTCACAGAACTTGAGTTCTAAAGAAATAATCTCTTTACTCATGTAGGTAATATTTAGAGCATTAATAGGTAAGTAGATTGTGGGAACACTAGGTTTGGAAATAATTCAATTTTATTTTTGCAAATATATATATACTCATGAATATATGAATATATTCTCGTGTGAATATATTCTTGTGAATGGCTTAAAAGGTATGTGTACATATATACTCAGTTTATTATTAGTAGTAGTAGTATTATTTTGAGATGGAGTCTCGTTCTGTCACCCAGGCTGGAGTGCAGTGGTGTGATTTCGACTCACTGCAACCCCCACCTCCCGGGTTCAAACAATTTTACTGCCTCAGCCTCCTGAGTACCTGGGATTACAGTCACGTGCCACCACGCCCAGCTAATTTTTGTATTTTTAGTAGAGACACAAGGTTTTGCCATGTTGACCAGGCTGGTCTCGAACTCCTGACCTCAGGTGATCCACCCACCTTGGCCTCCCGAAGTGCTGGGATTACAGGCATGAGCCACCGTGCCAGGCCCTATACACAGTTTATATGTACACACATGTACATCTGAAAGCACAGGTGAAAAATGCTTGTTTACTGTTAGAAATTATTTTTTTACACCTTTTAGGAATATGGACTTGAAATTTTGTCTGTTGTAAACTGATTCTATTGAAGAATTTTAACTGTTTTGTATATTGTTAATTTTAGCCACTACTCCATGGTTTGAGTCTTACAGAGAAACCTTTCTTCAGTCGATGCCAGCATCGGATCATGAATTTCTGAACCACTATTTAGCATGTATCCTTTGACATTTATGTTCTCCTAAAATCAAATGTTTGGAAATTATTAATCTCAGAAATAGTTAATGAAGGGAAAATTGTTGAAGATATAGAGAATAAATTATTTTTTATTGATTGACGATGCATGGAGTCTTTGTTATTTTGTTAAATGGCCTCCTAGATATAGGACTGCTGTAACAATTTTTTAACCAATTTAGTTTTTGGTTGTAAAATAAGACTACAGAGGGCTTGCTTATTTTTCTTTAGCCCCCTAGCTTGAATATTTCATGCTTAATAAGTTTTTTAGCTATTTGAGAAAGAAAATGTAAACAATGTTAACTGCTTTCACTGATTGCTTCAGAATTGACTGCTTATCCTAAGACTCATGAAAAATAATTTTGGATATTTTTAGTAATTTTTTAATGGGTATTCTTTTTTGATGATTGTGGCTTAGTTTTCTTAATGCGGTTATTGACGAAAGTTAAGAGGTAGGATGAAATTTGTAACTGCAGTGAGATAGAATGGAGAGAAGCAAAATGCAGCAGAATTCATTCTGCTGAAGCCGTACAGTTGTCCATTTTTATTTTTATGAGTTTCCTTATTATGTATATAAAGGCCTAAAAAACTGTCAACAAAAACATCTGTTAGAATTATCTGGAGTATTGAATTATTTGGAGGGTTGGAGAAATTATTTTGTGCTTGCAGTGAAAACCTATGACATTGGATTACCTGAGAAAATATCGCTGGGAGCGGTGGCTCATGCCTAAAATCCGAGCACTTTGGGAGGCCGAGGTGGGCTGATTACCTTAGGTCAGGAGTTCAAGACCAGCCTGGCCAACATGGTGAAACCCTGTCTTTACTAAAAATACAAAAAATTAGCTGGGTGCAGTGGATCGCACCTGTAATCCCAGCTACTCTGGATGCTGAGGCAGGAGAATCGCTTGAACTTGGGAGGCGGAGGTTGTGGTGAGTTGAGATCGTGCCACTAGCACTGCAGCCTGGGCTACAGAGCGAGACTTTGTCTCAAAAAAAAAAAAAAAACTCCTTAAAGTTTATCTCTATAGGACAATATTTATCATTGAGTAATAAGCGATAATTACCTTAATAATATGGTTTACAAGGTATGTTGGTAGCGTCATCTAGTGAAGCTGAACCTGTGGAACAGTTTTCAAAGTTGTCACAAGAACAGCATCGAATTCAGCACAACAGTGATTATTCCTACCCCAAGTGGTTTATACCAAATACACTTAAATATTATGTACTTTTACATGATGTAAGTGCAGGAAATGAACAAAGGTAAGTTTTTTTTTTAATTAAAGATTTTTTCCAGTTAAATGATTTTACATTAATTTGGAGATAGCTTGTTTACGTTTTGGATTTATTTTTGATACAAGAATGTAAAAGTTTAATGTGAATTTTATTAATAAAGCATTTAACTTTGTTTTATCCTGGCATTATATTCAACAGCCAGGTTTTTTTTATGTTAGGTTTCTTTTTTTTTTTTTTTTTTTCGAGACAGGGTCTTGCCCTATCACCCAGGCTGGAGTGTAGTGGCATGATCTCGGCTCACTGCAACCTCCGCCTCCCGGGTTCAAGCAATTCTCCTGCCTCAGCCTCCTGAGTAGCTGGAATTACAGGCGCCCGCCACCACGCTGAGCTAATTTTTGTATTTTCAGTACAGATGGGGTTTCACTATGTTGTCCAGGCTAGTCTTGAACTCTTGACCTCAGGTGATCCGCCCACCTCAGCCTCCCAAAGTGCTGGGATTACAGGCGTGAGCCACTGCGCCTGGCCCCCCCTTCCTTTTTTTTTTTTGATAGGGTTTCACTCTGTCACCTGGGCTGGAGTACGGTGGCACGATCTTGACTCACTGCAGCCTCTGTGCTTCCTGAGTTCCAGCAATTCTCTTGCCTCAGCCTCCCGGGTAGCTGGGATTACAGGCACATGCCACCATGGCTGGCTAATTTTTGAATTTTTAGTAGAGATGTTGTTTCACCATGTAGGCCAGGCTGCTCTGGAACTCCTGACTTCAGGTGATCTGCCCGCCTTGGCCTCCCAAAGTGGAAGGATTACAGGGATGAGCCACCGCACCTGGCCTTATGTTAGATTTCGTATGCTTACCCACACTTTCTTTTTAATGTATAATTCTTACAGTCTGTACAGAAACACTTGTCATTTCACAACTGTAGATCTTAGCTGTTATTTCTGGTTTTATATAAAATTATTTATCTTTCTTTGTTCTTTTCTGCTTCCCAGTTTTCCACTTTTCACTTCCTGACTTGCTTATAGGCACTTTTTCACAGTCCACTTTCTTGTGACTTCATATTTACAGCCTTGATATTTTTCTTTTTTTTTTTTTTTGAGACAGAGTCTCGCTTAGTCGCCCAGGCTGGAGTGCAGTGGCGCGATCTCGGCTCACTGCAAGCTCCGCCTCCCGGGTTCACGCCATTCTCCTGCCTCAGCCTCCCGAGTAACTGGGACTACAGGCGCCCGCCGCCTCGCCCGGCTAATTTTTTGCATTTTTAGTAGAGACGGGGTTTCACAGTGTTAGCCAGGATGGTCTTGATCTCCTGACCTTGTGATCCGCCCGCCTCGGCCTCCCAAAGTGCTGGGATTACAGGCGTGAGCCACCGCGCCCGGCCAGCCTTGATATTTTTCATAGTCTTAGAAATATTCAAATATTTTAAAATGTTTCCTTTAATATTCATTATTTGTTGTTTGCAGTAGTCCTTTTGTATTCGGGATATGTGAATAGATTGTCTTTAAAAATAAAATAAATTCTTGAAAAATAAGGTAAACACAGTAATTTTACTTGTATGGCTTTGGAGCTTATTTTGGCTTTTGGTTCAAGGTGTGGAGCAGATTAATGTTTTGTCTGAAACTATTCTGATGCCTTAGTGCCACTGAGGAAATGTAGTGTAATAATTATTACCTGCCCTTGTTCTGAGCATGGACCACCATCTTTTTATTAAATTTTCCTCTGTAGAGCCAAATAATTACTCTGAAGATTTCTAATCTTTAGGATATTTTGAAATGTCTGTAACATGTTGGATAAGGTGTACTACTATATTAATAGAAAAAATTTGAAATGACTATTAGAATTAGTTTATGTCAGTTGAATTTGGAGTGTGTCTTCCATATTGAACGGTTGTAACTAGGATATTTGAGGTAATTCAAGTATCAGATGAATGGTTCTTAGATTTAGCAGTATCATTAGTAATGTAAGCAGGAGTTTGCTTTATTGTCCTTGAGTGTGTGTACACACACACACATCTGTATTTATACAAATTTTCTATGACTATTTTACTTATCCAGCCATAATTTTTTAGTGCTAGGCTTGTTGCTTACATAGTATTAGTATTTGCATTTGAATGCGCTTTAAAGTTTTCCAGGTTTTTTTTTTTTTTTTCTTGTTTTTCTCCTTTTTTTTTTTTGAAATGGGAGTCTCACTTTGTTGCCTAGGCTAGAGTGCAGTGCCTGGGCTCAAGCAGTCTTCCCACCTCAGCCTCTTGGGCAGCTGGGACCACAGGTGTGTGCCACCATTCCTGGTTAATTTTATTTTTGGTAGAGATGGGGTTTCCCTGTGTTGCCTAGGATGGTCTCTAACTCCTGACTTGAAGTGATCTTCCCACCTTGGCCTTCCAGAGTGCTGGGATTATGGGCGTGAGCCAGCCACCACGCCAGGTCAAAACACTTGTTTTGTTTGCTGTAGTTCCCGCTCAATCTAGTTTGACCACCAGAGCTCTCTCTTTGAATAACATAGAGGAGTTTATCTTGCAGAATTTTATTCCATGGAACACACTTTGGTAACTGCTTTAAGGTGGTATCTAAGCTAGCTAAATTTCAATTGCGATCATGATTTTTGTTTTAGCTTTTAGGTTATTCTGTCCTAATTTTCTGTTCTGCCTTTTTTGGGGATTATTTTAATGTTATTTTTGTACTACTTTAGTATCTGTTATTGCCTATGGCCTACTCCTCTTTTACTTCAGATTTTTTTCCATTTTCTGTTTTAGAGCTGAATCAATTTATGAAGAAATGAAACAGAAATATGGAACTCAGGGTTGCTATTTACTTAAAATTAATTCTCGAACGTCTAATCGAGCATCAGATGAACAGATACCAGATCCTTGGAGTCAGTATCTCCAGAAAAATAGTATTCAAAACCAGGTATATGTAAAAAATAAAATAAAATGAAGCAAACCACAAAAACTATACTTCAGTTTTTACATTTTGGTTTAACTAGTATAATTGTTAATTATGTGGAATCTGGTCAGTTTTGATCTGTCAGAGGTGAGCTCTTAGATCAGTGGTTTAAAACTGTTTTTAACAAACTACAGTAATCCCTTATGTGCACTCTTTTCAGGTGTGTAATATCAGTGTGAATTGATCTTTTTTTTTTTTTTTTTTTTTTTGAGACAGTGTCTTGTTCTGTCGCCCAGGCTAGAGTGCAGTGGTGTGATCTCAGCTCACTGCAACCTCCGCCTCCCAGGTTTAAGTGATTCCCCTGCCTCAGCCTCCCAAGTAGATGAGATTTACAGGCACATGCCACCATTCCAGCCAAATTTTGTATTTTTAGTAGAGGTGAGGTTTCACTATATTGCAGGTTTAAGTGATTCCCCTGCCTCAGCCTCCCAAGTAGATGAGATTTACAGGCACATGCCACCATTCCAGGCAAATTTTTGTATTTTTAGTAGAGGTGAGGTTTCACTATATTGGCCAGGCTGGTCTCGAACTTCTGACCTCAAGTGATCTGCCCGCCTTAACTTCCCAAAGTGTTAGGATTACTGGTGTGAGCCACCGCGCCTGGCCTGATCTCTTTCTTAAAAGATGAAAAGTGAATTACACATTAAGAATTGAATTAGATAGGCTAGACATGCAGAATAGAATTTTTGACTTGTCCGTTTAATTCATTATGAATGCCTACAGTCAATTCTTTATTATCTACATGCTCTGGGGTTGCTCCCTACATTTTCTTTTCTTTTTCTTTTTCTTTTTTTTTTGAAACAGAGTCTCACTCTGTCACCAAGGCTGGAGTGCAGTGGCGTGATCTCAGCTCACTGCAACCTCCACCTCCTGGGTTCAAGCGATTCTCCTGTCTCAGCCTCCTGAGTAAATGGGATTATAGGCATCCACCACCCACCACCATTTTTTTTTTTTTTTTTGGAGATAGAGTCTCGTTCTGTTGCCCAGGCTGGGGTGCAATGGTGCGATCTTGGCTCACTGCAACCCTCTACCTCCCAGGTTCAAGCAGTTCTCCTCTTTCAGCCTCCCAAGTAGCTGGCACTTCAGGTGCACACCACTACGCCCAGCTAATTTTTGTATTTTTAGTACAGAGAGGGTTTCACCGTATTCGTCAGGGTGGTCTCGAACTCTTGACCTCAGGTGATCTGCCTGCCTTGGCCTCCACAATTGCTAGGATTATAGGCATGAACCATCCTGCCCAGCCTCCTTCCTACCTTTTCAACATGCTTTTATAGCCACCTTCGGGAACTCATACTTTTTAGGTGGATGGGCATTTCCCTCCAACTTTCCCTTGATTTCCCTTCTTTCTGTACTCTCAGGAGTTACTGTTTCTTAATTACTCCTTTCTTAACCTCGAGTTCTGGAATAAGATTGATTGTCCTGTTGACTTAAGTTGATTTGATGTTTTGTCAGACTTCTAAGGTACAATGCCACTTGGTAGTGGTCAGATGCCAAGTTCATATGCTTAGTTCAGATGATCAAGAGTCACTGTTCCTGTTTTTTGTTTAGAAGAATTTTTTTTTTTTTTTTTTTCTGAGACAGGGTCTCACTCTGTCTCCCAGGCCTTGGCCTCCCAAAGTGCTGGGATTACAGATGTGAGCCACCATGCCAGCCTAGAAGAAATTCTTTTTTTTTTTGGAGACAGCGTCTTACTCTGTTGCCCAGGCCAGAGTACAGTGGCACAATCTCGGCTCACTGCAACCTCTGCCTCTGGGATTCGAATGATTCTCATGCCTCAGCTTCCCGAGTAGCTGGGATTATAGGCACCCGCCACCACGCCTGGCTAATTTTTGTATTTTTAGTAGAGGTAGGATTCACCATGTTGTCCAGACTAGTCTCGAACTCCTGACCTCAAGTGATCCCTTGCCTTGGCCTCCCGAAGTGCTGTGGCTACAGGTATGAGCCACCATACCTGGCCAGAATTTTTTTTTTGAGATGGAGTCTCACTCTGTCGCCCAGGCTGGAATGCAGTGGCGAGATCTCGACTCACTGCACCCTCTACCTCCTGGGTTAAAGTGATTCATTTTTAGTGGGGACGGGGTTTCACCCTGTTGACTAGGCTGGTCTTGAACTCCTGACCTCAAGTGATCTGCATGCCTCAGCCTCCCAAAGTGTTGCTATTACAGGCGTGAGCCACAGCGCCTGGCCCAGAAATTCTTAAGTAAATGGAAAATATATTTATATTGTTCAATTAAACTGTATTATGCACTCTGTGTGTGACATTTAAAAATCAATTATAAAGCTTATGTAATTTTCAATCTTCTAAGATAAGTATTGTTTAATCTGTCTATTTGCCTTATTTTTCTGTCTCATAAATGGAATCTTTAAATCTAGATGCAGTGCTATTCTGGTATTTTACTGACTTTAGAATTGATTACTGATGTTCTTTAAGATAATGCTGGGGAAAAGTCTCTGAGCAAAGAAGTACCAGTTGGATGTGAAGGAACTTTATTTTTAAAAATGGTCTTTTAGGGCCATTCTAAGAATAAGAACAGTACTGAAAAAAATTCACTTTAGAGTTCATTCACCTAAGGTTGTGAAGGGGAACATAAAGAAGATTGTCCAGTATGAGAACTTTTCACAGAAGGCAGAAATATCAGAAATCTATGCCTTAGAATCCTACAGGCTCAAAGTTGGAGAATAGTTTGGAGGTTTTACATCCAATGCTTGATCTAATGCTTTAATTTTGTTTAAACTTGCGAATGACTGCATCTGTTGACAGTACTCACTGTATTCTTATTAAGTGACCTATTGCATGTCTGATCACCCAAAAATTCTCTTATTTTGCTTGAGGATCAACCATAAATTCTTGACCTTTGCTTGTATGCTTGATCCTTTGGGGGTGACTATGTCAGTTTTCTGTTAAGACAACTTTCAAAATATAGAAGGATAATTCTCATGTCTTCTTTTGTATTTTTCCAGTCTAAATATGCCTAGTTTCTGCAACTCTTTCTCAAGGAGTGGCTTCAGACTTTCTTGTCCTGGTCACTTTCTTCTTAAGTTCCAGTTTATGTAAATTCCCTCAAAGCGTGACACTCAGAATAATGTATCATATTTACTGGTCTTGTAGAGTTGTCTGGGTATTTTTAGTTTAAGTGTTTTTTTGTTAACTGAGAAACCAGTTTCTTTGCACAAATAAACATTGCATTAGATATTTTTCTAAAACACTTCAATATGTTCAGAATTCACTCCAACCTGCTTAAACTGTGACCCAAAAAATTTCATACCTGTGCCTCTCTTCTTTCCCTGTCTGACTCTAGTAGTCCATCTCTCTTGCCATTATTCCTTAAGATGCATAGCATATGTATGTGCTTGTATGACACTCGTGTGTATACATATCATATATAAGTAGATATCCTGAGAGATAATTTGAATTAAGAAGAATTAGGATAGTAGCTTGAATGTGCAAGGGGATTTAAGAATATACTAGGTGTGAGTTGGAGTGATAGAATAAGATCTGTGGAAGAAGTTATAAATTTGGAGAAAGTGCTCACTGTAGCAAATAAATGAGGCCAACAGCAGAGTAACCATAGTTGTTGATGGATTTGATAGTATATTAAATGTGATTAAGTATAACTGCTAATGCTTTTTAAATTTTATTTTGATAGGAATCATATGAAGATGGCCCTTGTACTATGACTTCAAATAAGAATTCTGATAATAACTTGCTTTCATTGGATGGATTAGATAACGAAGTCAAAGGTCTTAATATATTTTCTCTAAGTTTCTCTTTTGATTGAAAATATGCACTGTTGTCAGATCATGCTAACCTTTATAGATAAAAGATGGGGGAGATTTTCATAATACAGAAAGATATTGGGCAGGTTAGTTTTTCTTCTGAAGATTTTACTGAGCCACTTGAGTTTTGATTGTTTTTGACACTTAAAAATTTATTTTATATGAATAGTGTATAGATTTCTTTTAAAACATTTTGAAGCAAGGGAAGATGTGACGTACAGCATTAATTTTTTAAAAATTTACATGATTTTGAGAGCTTTATTTCTGATTTTAAATTATGGTTTTCATAATGATAACTAAAATTTTTTTTTGTTATATTTTTCTTATGGCTTAATTGTGCCATTTAAAAGTCATTCTTTATAATATTTAAAATAAAGTATTTTTCTTCATTTCCTGGTGTATACGAATTTTCGAATTTCTAGTACAGGTACCAAAACAAATATTAACTCAAGCTCTTTTTTTTTTTGTTTGTTTGTTTTTTGTTTTTTTTTGAGACGGAGTCTCGCTGTGTCTCCCAGGCTGGAGTGCAGTGGCGCGATCTGGGCTCACTGCAAGCTCCGCCTCCCGGGTTCACGCCATTCTCCCGCCTCAGCCTCCGAGTAGCTGGGACTACAGGCGCCCGCCACCACGCCCGGCTAATTTTTTGTATTTTTAGTAGAGAAGGGGTTTCACCGTGTTAGCCAGGATGGTCTTGATCTCCTGACCTCGTGATCCGCCCGTCTCGGCCTCCCAAAGTGCTGGGATTACAGGCTTGAGCCACCGCGCCCGGCCTAACTCAAGCTCTTTAATTTTGGGGCTGCAGGATGTTACTGCTGTTTTATCTTACACATTTATGTATACAGAAAGAAAGGATTTTAACATTCTGCTTTTTTTTTTTTTCTTCTTCTTTAGCAGTATGATAGTATTATCACTATTTTCTGTTGCATTCTGAGAGTAAAAGATGTATCTCTTTTTCAGTAGATGGCTTACCAAATAACTTTAGAGCTCACCCACTTCAGTTGGACCAATCCAGTGACCCTTCTAACAGTATTGATGGCCCAGATCATGTAAGATCTGCTTCATCGTTACATGAAACAAAGAAAGGAAATATTGGAATAATTCATGGTGCATGTTTAACACTTACTGATCATGATAGAATTCGACAGTTTATACAAGAGTTCACATTTCGGGGCCTTTTGCCACATATAGAGAAAACAATTAGGCAATTAAACGATCAGGTAAGGTTTCATTTTTTGGATTAGTATTTTTAAAATTTAAGTAAATAGTAAATTTAAGAATTAATAAATGTATTTGAAGTTTTGTTTTCATTTTAAGATAGGCCAATATTAAGACTTCTCAAAATTACTTCATTGTGGTGAAATTCTGTTCAACTGTGGAAGAGGCTGATTCATTTTCACTAGGATTTTGCCAGCATATTAGACAGTTTTCTTTAAATCAGTTTTGTTAAAATGAACATTTGCTATTAAAGCTTTTTAGTTAAAATTTTTTTTATGTAAAAGAAAAATACTAAATTATATTTGTCAACATATTTAATCTCTTTTTTAAAGCTAATATCAAGAAAAGGTTTGAGTCGATCTCTATTTTCTGCAACTAAAAAATGGTTTAGTGGCAGTAAAGTTCCAGAAAAGAGCATTAATGAGCTGAAAAATACATCTGGCTTGCTGTGAGTAAAGTGTTGTTTTTGTTTTTCCTCTGTTTACCTCTGACTAGTATTTGATTGTATTGTATGATATCCTGCAGAAGATAACTATCTCTTTGATTTCTTAGTTTCTTATTGGTGAAAATTCAGGTAGATAAGAAGAGAGACTCTTAAGTAAATCATATTTTTTAAAAACTAAGTACTTGGACATCTAAAAACAAATGGGAAGGTCACTTTACTTTTGGTCTGTTTCATTATTTGTAAAACAATGAAGTTAGACTAGCTATCATTAGTAACTGTTCTATATCTAAAATGTAATGACTTGATGATTCTAAGACAAGGGACACATTTAATAAATTTTGCTTTACGGGCCGGGCACGGTGGCTCACGCCTGTAATCCCAGGACTTTGGGAGGCCGAGATGGGCGGATCACGAGGTCAGGAGATCAAGACCATCCTGGCTAACACGGTGAAACCCCGTCTCTACTAAAAAAGTACAAAAAACTAGCCGGGCGCGGTGGCGGGCGCCTGTAGTCCCAGCTACTCGGGAGGCTGAGGCAGGAGAATGGCGTGAACCCGGGAGGTGGAGCTTGCAGTGAGCTGAGATCCGGCCACTGCACTCCAGCCTGGGCGACAGAGCGAGACTCCATCTCAAAAAAAAAAAATTTTGCTTTACACAAAAAACCATTTTAAGGGAAAAATATAATTAATACATTTTGGATTTTAATGTTTCTCCTGGTTGTATATAAATGTGAGTTACTTGGAATTAACCATTTACTTCATTATTCGACCATGGAGAAAATGTTTGCCTGCCTTTGAGACATTCTCAGGGCTATAAATAATAAAACAAGGAACTCTCTGTTTCCAGATATTTTTGAGAACTGACACTTTTGTTGGAGGTAGAATTTCTTTAAAATAGCATTAGTTTTCCTCATATTCTAGGAGAACATGGCAGCTTGTTAGTATATTTTATAGTGGTTTAGGGGGTAATAAATTATGCATTATTTTCTTTTGTATTTACAGGTATCCCCCAGAAGCACCAGAACTTCAAATCAGGAAAATGGCTGACTTATGTTTTTTGGTGCAGCATTATGATTTGGCTTACAGTTGCTATCATACTGCAAAGAAAGATTTTCTTAATGATCAAGCAATGCTTTATGCAGCTGGTGCCTTGGTTGGTATTCTGTGATATTATAATTCCTTAATTCTGCTACCATAAATGCTTTAGAAATTTCTCTTGGTGGCAAACAGAATCCTTAGGGATAAAGTTGTACTCCAAGAACACATAGTGCTTTATAGATTGTGAATTCCTTAATGCTGAATTGATGGATTTCCCTCAGACTAGTTCATTAGCTGGGTATGGTGGCACTATCCTGTAGTCCCAGCTACTTGGGAGGCTGAGGCAGTAGAATTGCTTGAGCCCAAGAGTTTGAGACCAGCCTGAGCAACATAGTAAGATTGCATCTTTAAAAATAAATGGAAAAAACTTACTTCTTAAAAACAAAACCCAAAAAACTAGGTAATTAAAAGATGGTCATATATCAGGGTTTCTTTCTTAATTAGTACTTTCTAACTTTTTCATCAGCTTTCAGAATTGAATTTCATTTTCTAATATATTCAAAATACAAAAATTTTTTAAGAAGTTTTTTTAAACCATGACATTTTTAAGTTGCTTGATGTATGACTTCATTATTAGTCAAGAACATGTACTTTAGGTGTGAGACACTCTCTCATCTTAGGCAAGTTATTGAATATCTCTAAGCCACAGTTTTCTCACCTGTAAAATATGTGAATCCTAACGGCGTAGGATCAGATAAGGTATAAGGCATGCACTTAGCATAATGCCTTATATGTAATAACCTGTCAATAAGTATTGGTGGTGTTAGGTTTGTAATTGATTACAAAGCCAGGTATTTCAGAAGAATTTTCTATACTTGTTGCCTAAACCTTTTAATGTTTTTGAAAAGTTACCACAAATATATGTGTTATCTGCTTTATGTGTTCAGAAAAGAGTAAAATTAGCACTGTTAGTTTCTATTTAATCTTTTAAAAAACATGTAAGCTTATAAACAAAAGTGAAGAAAAAAATGTGTAAGAATAATTCATTGGTAATTGTGTAGATACTTTTTTTTAACTAGAAAATATTCACAAGTTGACAGATACTTATTTAATTAACTGGCATTTGTTTTGCATTTATTTTAATACTGTGCATATATAAAATTAGTAACTTAAAAATGGAAGCCAGAATAGCAAAATTATATTACTGTTGCTTTCTGGTTCTCTAATTTTTTTAATGAAAAAAGTCAGCCCACTTTTTTTTTTTTTTTTCTGGAGACAGAATTTTGGCTCACTGCAACCTCCACCTCCAGGATTCAAGGCTCACTCCACCTCCAGGATTCAAGCGATTCTTGTGCTTAAGTCTCCTGAGGAGCTGGGATTATAGGCACACCCCACCATGCCCGGCTAATTATTTTTGTGTGTGTGTGTTTTTAGTATAGACGAGGTTTCGCTGTGTTGCCCAGGCTGGTCTCGAATTCCTGACCTCAGGCAATGTACCGTGCCTGGCCAACCCAGTTTTTAAAAACCTTTCATAGAAATGGAAAATATGCTATGTTCATGAGAAGCGTTTGAAAACACAAGTGAATCTTCCTTGGCTAAATATTCTCTGATTGCTCATTATAGTCATCATAGGAAATCACAAATACTTCATGTTATTATTAATACCTTATAACCTAGGTATGCATTTGTAATGACAAAATTTTATTTAATGTATCTGCAAGTAGAATGTTTGATAAAAACTACATTTAAGCCATTCAACTGGAAGTATTAGTAGCTGTTTGAGAGAAAATAATATAGCACTGGAAAATAAAGGCATATTTGCTCTTACATATTTGTGCACCTGAAAATCATTGTAGCCTTTAAAAGCTACCCTAAAAATAATAGGCTTCTGAGAAAAGTTGGGATACTCTTCTTGAAACCTATTCATCTTTGTAACCAGAGCACAAACAAAAACTTTAAACGGTACCTTGGAAGATTACCTAAATAATCTAGATAGGCAGCTTAGCATGGCTGAGGATACCTCAGGGAATATAAAAAATAAATTTTTTATAGGGATGGGGGTGAGCAAGAAGAGTTCCTAACCAGGGGAGCTGCCATGAAGCCGATCATAGAAGAAAGTACAGCCTGCCCTGAGCCCAGAGCTGTGAAAGGCTGGTAGTGTGCTGCTCTGGAGACAGAGTCCATACGCACCAAAGTGTAGGCATTCGTTTTTAGCAGCTTGAAAGAGAGCCTTTCTGTGCAGCAGCTGAGCTCAGGGCTTTTTCCTTTCGTTCTGAAGGATATAAGTTTATAATACTGCTATTTTTGATTCCCTTGCCTAAGAAAGATTATGTATGAATAAATAAAAATTTTAATTTGAACTGATACCACTTCCCTTGCCATTCACGTTAACTAATTGATAAGATCAAAATGTGTTGTAGTAGAATAGACTAGATCGTATGCCTTTTTAGATGAAAATTGTAGAAGATATTTAGTCATTGTAACTACAAAGGCAAAATAAATATCACAGCAAAACCAGTAATAGGAATTCTTTTTTTTTTTTTTTTTTTTTTTTTTTGAGACGGAGTCTTGCTCTGTCGCCCAGGCTGGGGTGCAGTGGCCGGATCTCAGCTCACTGCAAGCTCCGCCTCCCAGGTTTATGCCATTCTCCTACCTCAGCCTCCCGAGTAGCTGGGACTACAGGCGCCCGCCAACCCGCCTGGCTAGTTTTTTTGCATTTTTTAGTAGAGACGGGGTTTCACCGTGTTAGCGAGGATGGTTTCGATCTCCTGACCTTGTGATCCGCCCGTCTCGGCCTCCCAAAGTGCTGGGATTACAGGCTTGAGCCACCGCGCCCGGCCAGGAATTCTTGAAGACTTTTTTTTTTTTTGAGACGGAGTCTCACTCTGTTGCCCAGTCTGGAGTGCGGTGGCCTGATCTCAGCTCTCTGCATCCTCCACCTCCTGTGTTCAAGCCAGCCTCCTGCCTCAGCCTCCCAAGTGGCTGGGATTACAAGCATGTGCCACCACACCCAGCTAATTTTTGTATTTGTAGTAGAGATGGGGTTTCACCAAGTTCGCCAGACTGATCTCGAACTCCTGACCTCAAGGGATCTGCCTGCCTCAGCCTCCCAAAGTGCTAGGATTACAGGCGTGATCCACTGGACCCGGCCAAGAAAACATGTTTTAGAGCTGTACGATATTTTGTCACATGGACATTATGTATTTTTATTTAGCTCCTTCAATGAATTTTAGAGCAGATACTGCTGAGTGCTGAGGATGCAGAGGCATTCTGAAATAGATATGGTTCATATTGTCATTCAGGGAACTATCAGGTTAAAGGCTTTAATCATATTTCAGTTCCCAAATCATTATTTGTTTTTTCTTCTATTTTAAAAAATGTGGCAGAGAAGTACATTTGTTTGTCTTAAAAGTGAATTATGGCTTTCCCGTCCTGCTATTCTCCTGTCTCAGCCTCCCGAGTAGCTGGCATTACAGGCATGCACCACCACACCTGGCTAATTTTGTATTTTTAGTAGAGACAGGGTTTCACCATGTTGATCAGGCTGGTCTCGAACTCCAGACTTCAGGTGATCTGCCTGCCTCAGTCTCTCTCAAAGTGTTGGGATTACAGGCGTGAGCCATTTTCATTAAAACTTAGGTGATTTTTTTTTTTTGGAGGCAAGGTCTTGCTCTGTTGCCCAGGCTGGAGTACAGTGGTGTGATCACAGCTTATGTAGCCTCAACCTCCTGGGCTCAACTGATCCTCCCACCTCAGCCCCTCACAGTAGCTGGGACTACAGGCGTGCACCACCACGTCTGGCTAATTTTTATATTTTTTGTAGAGATGGCATTTTGCCATGTTGCCCAGGATTGTTTTGAACTCCTGAGCTCAAGCATTCTCCCTGCCTTGGCCTTCCAGCGTGCTGGGGTTACAAGCATGTGGCACCGTGCTAAATCTTCATTTCTAAATCCTTTGACCACCATTGTATATTATTTGAATTATTAACTAAAGTCCTAGGCATTGCCAATAGAATGAGGTTTTTTTTTTTTTGTTTTTTGTTTTGATCTAGATCTCAGTATGTTGCCCAGGCTGGTCTTGAATTCCTGGGCTGAAGCAATCCTCCTGCCTCAGCCTGCCAAAGTGCTGGGATTACATGTGTGAGCCACTGAACCCATCCAGAATGAAGTTTTAAAATGAAATATGACCTAGGAAATTGACAGTAATAATAGGTTTAAGAAAAATGGTCTTTGCACCATCTATATGATAGTGGATATAAACTAGAGTTTGTAATTGGCAGAATATATTGACAAGGCAAGCCGTTGTGAGCTCTGATTTTATATTGTTACCAATAAATTGGAAAGAGATGTACTTTATTTTTTCTCTTTGTTATCCATCATTGGTCTGTTCTCTACTTATTGAAGGTTAGTGAAGAACAGGGAGGAGGGTGTTAGTAGAAATCTTAAACTAGGCTAATTTGATAGTATATATACACCATAGTTTTTTTTGAAAATCTCATTTAAATATTGAATGGAAGACTTCGGATATTGACTAGAGAATTTTAAGATTGAAAGCTTATATAAATGTATTACTTATATTACCATAGTAGATAATTCTTTTGAAAGTACAACACTAGGCCGGGCGCAGTGGCTCAAGCCTGTAATCCCAGCACTTTGGGAGGCCGAGACGGGCGGATTACGAGGTCAGGAGATCGAGACCATCCTGGCTAACACGGTGAAACCCCGTCTCCACTAAAAAATACAAAAAACTAGCCGGGTGAGGTGGCGGGCGCCTGTAGTCCCAGCTACTCGGGAGGCTGAGGCAGGAGAATGGTGTGAACCCGAGAGGAGGAGCTTGCAGTGAGCTGAGATCCGGCCACTGCACTCCAGCCTGGGCGGCAGAGCGAGACTCTGTCTCAAAAAAAAAAAAAAAAAAAAGAAAGTACAACACTAAATCACTCTTGTCATAGTCTCTGCTCCTTTTCCACTAGCAAATATTTGGAAATTCATTCTTGGAGCATTTTGGGTCAAAGCTTCTCTCTAGGTGGAAAATTGTTTCCACTTCCAGTGTCACAGGGAAAACACACACACACACACACACAATCAAAAAGCAGGACACTGGAGAGGAATAGGGGCTATTTTCAAACAGAAAACCCAGCAAACAGGTTAGAGGAGCACAGTCCCAACTGCAAAGTGGAGACTGACTTCCCCATCTCCAGTGGCAACCTAACATGCTGGTTATGTTGGGCCTGGCCAACCTTTTTTCCCTTTTGTGTCTATAACAGATGATACCACAACCATAACTGTGTTATATCTCAGCATATCAGAGGCCCATGGAGTAAAAATAAATGAAAAGACCTTTCAAGCTAGTTTGGAAAAACAGATGATTTAGATAAACTGACTATTCAACCTCCCACTTAAAGCTGTTAGGCAGCTATCTGGGAAAACACTGCGGGTAAGATGCTGCTTAACAGAAATAACCTCTTGCTCTGACCAGCGTAGGGTCAGCATATTTTTTGTTGTTGTTGTTTGTTTTTTGAGACCAAATCTTACTCTGTCACCCAGGCCAGTGTGCAGTGGCACTATCTCGGCTCAATACAACCTCTGCTTCCCAGGTTCAAGCGATTCTCCTGCCTCAGCCTCCTGAGTAGCTGGGATTACAGGTGCCTGCCACCACTCCTGGCTGTTGAGGGTGTTCAGGAATTTTTGTATTTTTATTAGAGACAGTGTTTCACCATGTTGGCCAGGCTGGTCTCAAACTCCTGACGTCAAGTGATGCATCCGCCTCAGCCTCCCAAAGTGCTGGGATCATAGGCGTGCGTCACTGCACCTGGCCAGTTTAGCATATTTTTGATGGGAAGAGATAACTGTCAGATACTACAATGATAAACAGGGGAAACATAAGTAGCTCTAGAAAACAGAAGATTAAAAAATCTGGACAAAATAAAGAAAAGTGATAGACAACACACCTAACCACTAGGCCTGACATAGCATTCACTCATAAGCACATTGTGTATACATGCAATCACTCACGCTGCTACACACAACATTCAGGTAGACACCCAAAGGAGGACAAATCCAAATGTCTGCTCTCTTTGGAATTTCCATGGCAAATCTGAGTCTAGGCAAAAGTAAAGACCTCCCTGGGGTCTAAGCAATCTTAGGAAGCAGTCTTTGCTCCGCATGTAGCCAGTGGTGCCCTTATATTTGCCTGAGCCTTTTGTAATTGTCTGAACACCAGAATTCATTCTTTATATTCCTGCAGTTTAACTGCTAAATCTTATCCAATCTAACTTTGCCTGTAATGGAAGCATCTCCCTTTTGGTCTCTGTATTCCTCATGTTCTTTCAGGAAAAACACATCCCCAGACAGTGGTCATTAGAGGGTGTTCAGGAGTTGGAAAGTGTAGGAAGAGAGTAATATAAATACAATAAGGAAATGCCTGTTACTGTCATGATTTCTCTGAGACCAGGTGGCTAAGGAGCCCGTAGTCTTTAAGGATATGTTTTAGAGGCCTTAACTGAAGGTACTGCAGTCTTGCTCACAAGAGCTAAGACATTACTACGTGGAGGTTTCTATAGGACTCTTACTCATTACTTATTTGAATTCTAGGTACTCTTTTGATCTCTCTGACTTCAGTCTTTCCAGAGTCAGATCACCCATCTTCTCTAATGAGTGACTGGGCTGTAAATGTGTTTTTCAAATCTGCGTTAGGCTATAAAGTTTATACATGTGTATCCAGTTAAAAAAAAAAAAGCAAATTTCATGCTAACGTTTAGTTTCCTATCTAAACTGTAAGACTGTTTCTTTTGAAATATGTAAACTCTATCTTTTATTTTAGGAAATGGCAGCAGTGTCCGCTTTTCTTCAACCAGGAGCACCTAGGCCATATCCTGCTCATTACATGGATACAGCAATTCAGACATACAGGGATATCTGCAAGTAGGTGACTATATAAGATTTATATTGTATCCAGTTAGAGATCAGTTTGTTCTTTTTTTTTTTTTCCCCCATTCCTAAACTCCCAAATCAAGTTAATAGAGACAAGTTGAGGTAATTTTTAAAAAATTAATGTTTTATTATACCTTTTTCTTTTCTATTTTGTTTGGATTGGCAGGTAGGAATGTGTTATGTAGAGATTATATGTTACATTGAAGGTAATTTGTATTGTGGGGACATTTCTAACTTTAAACTGCTGTCAAGTTAGGAATTAGTCATTTTGCATTTTCTTTGTTAAATAGGCAAAAAAAAAATAGTTAAACAATATTGTATTCATAGTGCTTTCTGTTGAACCCTGTAAGAGTGAGAACTCACCACCTATAAGGAGACTATGAACTGGTGCCCAGTGGTCAGGGGAGATTTCATGGGATATTTGATGGGTAGACCTTGAAAGAAAAGTGGTTAGGACTTGATAACTGTGAAGATGTATCAGGAATTGTGATTGGCAGGCATAATGTTTTAGATGTGCATTATTGGCTAAAGAGAAGAAAGCCCTGGCTAGGTTGGAAGGTTTCTGTATAGGGAAAGTACTGGATGATAAATTTGGGAAGGAGATTTGAGATAAATCTGTGTGAGGAAGCTTTACTGTCGTGTATTATTTTTATTTTTTTATTTTTATTTTTTTTTGAGACAAGAGTCTTGCTCTGTCGCCCAGGCTGGAGTGCAGTGGCTGCGATCTTGGCTCACTGTAACCTCTGCCTCCTGGGTTTGAGTGATTTTCCTGCCTCAGCCTTTGGAGTAGCTGGGTTTACAGGAGTGCGCCACCATGCCTGGCTACAGTAGAGACAGGGTTTCACCATGTTTGCCAGGCTGGTCTCGAACGCTTGACCTCAAGAGATCCACCCACCTCAGCCTCCCAAAGTGCTGGGATTACAGGCATGAGCCGCCATGCCTAGCCCATGTTTTTTATTTTTTTATTTACTTATTTATTTTTTTGAGACGGAGTCTCGTACTGTCGCGCAGCTGGAGTGCAATGGTGTGATCTCAGCTCATTGCTACCACCACCTCCTGGGTTCAAGTGATTCTCCTGCCTCAGCCTCCCAAGTAGCTGGAATTATAGGCATCTGCCACCATGCCCAGCTAATTTTTTGTATTTTTAGTAGAGACGGTGTTTCACTATTTTTTCGGCCAGGCTGACGTCGAATTCCTGACCTCATGATCTGCCCGCCTTGGCCTCCCAAAGTGCTGGGATTACAGGCATGAGCCACTGCACCACACTCATGTATTATTTTTATTAAGCTGCAGTGAAGACTTACGTAGTAGTAAATGGAAAATTACCAAATATTTGAGTAGGGACTTAACATAATAGAAGTTACTTTTTGGAAAAATTAATCCGACTTTTCTGTTGTTTCAGAATAGATGCATTGGAAGACAGATATAGAGGCAGTTTTGATCCCTATAATTTTGAAGTAAAAGTAGTCATCGTAATGGTAACATGGTTAGAACAGAACAGCATCATTAATAAGATAATAATAAACATTTTTTGAGTGTTCAGCATTTGCCATCATGCCGAAGAAATTTATATGCACATTTAGTCTTAACAACAAACCTCTGAAATCGTGCATGTTATTATTATCCTTATTTTACAGATGAAGAAACTGAAGTAATTGACTATATGGGATAAATCGTTTAGGAATCAAACATAAGTGTTAAGATTTAAGGGAATTTATAAAATTTACTGAAGAAAAATCTTTAAGAACTGAACCTGTTAAATAAGTAGTTGATAGTATATAGGAGTTAGTCTTTTGTGTTCATCAAAACAGTCTTAGGTATTCATAAATACCTGACCTCCAAGGAAGAAAGGTATGATTGTAGAAAGTTTATGGCAAGTCAGTATAATAATTTTTGAATTTTTGAAAGGAGTAAATTGTGTTTCTAAAATAAATACTATTCATTGTTTAGAATGGACTTCCAAAGTAAGTTCAAGTTAGCAAACTTTGGTTATATTAATAATTTTGAAGCCAAGTGATATTTTGATTCTATAAGGATTAGAAAGTAAAAAGAAAAACTTTTGCTGCTGTTTGCCAGCAATAGGATTCCATCTTGTAATTTCATAGTAAGAATGTTTTCATTTGGTTTGATTCTTTTCTAAAATGGATAATCTAATTCTAGATTACTGATATAGTAGTACACAAAATCAACTGATTGTATTTTTACAAAAAAAACTAAAATTGGATCAGGAATCAATCAGACAACACTGGCTCTATGCCATCTCTAGCAGAAACATCTTAATGGTACTACCAGGGGGAAAATACCTAAGTATTCCTCAAAGTAGCCAGCAAAATGAAACACAATCAGAATTTGCATAAGGAAAGAGAAAGAAATACGTGTGACATGTTTATATTTTTCTGTTCAAAGCAGACTTTGTTAAATATGTTATGGAACCAGTTCTAGCTTTTTTGCATACAGGAGATGGGACTTTGCATTATATTCTTACTGCCAAATTACATGATAATGAGAAGTTTTGATGAGTTATGAGAAGTTTTTGAAGATTTTTTAAGAAAGCCTTTTTGGTAGGTGCCAAACAAGGACATAGACTTCTTTTCTGCTTTTTATAGTCAGCCCTGTGTGTCTGCAGATTCGACCAACCACAGATTAAAAATATTTGGGAAAACCCAACAATAAATAATAATATAAAAATTAAAAATACAAATGAAAAATAAAGTATGACAATGATTTACATAGTATTTACATTATAGTAGGTATTATAAGTAATGTAGAGATTATTTAAATTACACAAGAGGATGTGTATGGGTTAATATGCAAATACTATGCAATTTTATATAAGGAACTGGATAAACCTTGGATTTTAGTATCCTGGAGGGTCCTGGAACCAATTCCCTGCAACTGTCCTCTAAAATTGTAATTGGAATCTTTTGCTGAACACATTTACTTTGATGTGCTAAGGTATTATTGTGCTGATTTTATTTTCTTGTCCTTTTTTCTACAGGAATATGGTGTTGGCAGAAAGATGTGTGTTGCTTAGTGCTGAACTTTTAAAAAGCCAAAGCAAATATTCAGAGGCTGCAGCTCTCCTAATACGGTTGACCAGTGAGGTACTGAAACTGTGTAGTATTTCCTTTAATTAGCATTGTTCATTTTTTAAAAAGACGTATCTTCTTTCTTGAAAGGGTTTACAAAACATAAAATTAGCCAGGGAAATCACTCTTTGGGAATTTACAACATGGCTATTTTAGTTTTTTGTTGAGTTAATTTTAAATGTAATTTTTTATAAATTAAATTTACATATTTTAAGGCTACATTTCATTATTAACTACAGACGTGTATTGAGCATACATACTCTGTGACTTATTAGGTTTTTGTCCTTTGAATAAGAATATTTAAAACAATGTGCATGTGCGTTGTTCCTAATATAAAATGATATTTTATTTTTTATTTTTCATATTTTGTTATCTGAGTCTGCTAGGGAAATAAAGCTGATTTTAAAAGACTAATCACTAAGGAGTTTTTAATTTTACTTTCAACTAGCATGAACTTTTTAAGAAAATCATCTTAAACATTTAAAAAACCTATATTGTGAATATTTTAAAAGAGAAGAAAGTAATTCATTTATAGTTGTTGAAGATTTTACAACAAACATTATTGAGTTGCATTGACTACAGGCTTGTAAAGAATGATAGTAATTCCTTTATAAGTATTGTTAATAACGTGTTTTTTAGATGACTACTGAAGAATGAAGGAACAAAATCAAACATCTCCTTTGTTTGCTCCTTAAATGTTAAATATCCTAGGATTTTAGTCCTTGGACCACTGCACTTTTTAACTCTTTACGTTTTGGGGATGATCTTGTCCACAGCCATGCTTTCCACTTTCAAATCTGTCTTTAACCCTGAGCTTTCTTTGAGCTTTAGATTTGTATGGCCAACTGTCTTTAAGATTTATCTACTTGCGGCCAGGCGTGATGGCTCACGCCTGTAATCCTAGCACTCTGGGAGGCTGAAGCGGGCGGATCACCTGAGGTCAGGAGTTTGAGACCAGCCTGGCCAACATAATGTAATCCTATCTACTAAAAATACAAAAATTAGCTGGGCGTGGTGGTGCACACCTGTAATCTCAGCTACTCAGGAGGCTGAGGCAGGAGAATTGCTTGAACACAAGGTGGGGGTTGCAGTGAGCTGAGATCGCGCCACTGCACTCCAGCCTGGGCGACAGAGCGAGAGCAGCAACAAAGATTTATCTACTTCATGTTTCGAAGGCATCTTAAATTAACGTATAATAAACCCATAAAATTTTTTACCTGATATATCATGATCTTCAGTTATGTTATCACTAACAAGCCCTTTATTTGCTCAAGGCAGAAATGGCTTGAGATATTCCTGTATTCTCCTATCCTGTCTGTAATCCAATGTAGAATGGAGGTGGGGGTGGGAGTAATTTTTGTTTTCAAGCTCTTAAACATTATTTATTTAATTAAAATAATGTTAATCTTTAAAAATATTTTTTCTTTTTGTATCTCCATATAGTTTACTTATCTCTTTCTTTTGTTGGTTTTTTTAAAACTTCTCCTACTGTACTAGTTCTCATTCTTAATATTTTTTATTTGGGACTGTGGCCTTTTCCCTCTTGCTTTGTCTAGTTTACTAGTCATGATATCAGTTGTGTACTTCAGATAGTCTTGCTTAGTACACCTGTTTGTCCTGAGTGTCTCTGTTCTGCTCTCTCATATAATGCTGTAAAACCTGACTTACCATATTATATTATATTGGAAATTATGTTTAAGCTTCTTAAGCTGTTAGCTTCTTGAGGTCAGGGAACCGTGTTGCCTTCTGTTTTTATTCCTGTTGCCTAACACTGGCCTTGGCACGTGGATTAGATGCTCTACAAGTGTTTGTTGGAACTGAACCATTAATTCTTCTACAAAAGTTTCTGTAAGATCTAACTAGTTAGGTTAAGAAGTGATATTTAAAATGTTTAATAATTGTTATTGCATGGCCACTGACTAATAAATATGAACAGGTAACAAACTATTTGTAGAGCTGAATATAGGCTTTTGAGTATTCTGATGTTCTCTATTATAATAAATAATCTTAACTTGGATTTGAATGTGTTGCTGTGTTTTTCAACCTAAGGATTATCAGTGAATGTAAAAAGAATTTATGGTTCAGGAGCTTGAATAAAATTCCTTTTTTTCTTCCTTGCTTAAATGCTTTTAATTGCCATTCTATCCACATATGTGAATAAAATTTCTTCAGAGCAAATTCTCCTGTCTGCATTATAACAGTGTTATTTTTTGTCATTTTTCTCTTCTTTCCAACTCTTTGTTTTCACTTTCTCAAATCTGGATGATTTGTTTTATCATGAAAGTCTAGAAAATGTATCATTGTTATTTACTGCCATATGGTGGGGAGAGGGGGCAGGTGGTGGTGCATGTACCCAGAAATTGTGATTCTAAGTGGCCTTTTCTGCAATACCTGTCATAAATTTCTTTGGGGTAACTTGAAACTAATGATTGTTGGGCATAATGTTTATAAATTATGTTAAATCTTTACCAACAATTTACATTTATTGTATGTATTTTGTTAACTAGAAAGGCTGTATAATATCAAGAGGGGCACACTGGTTTTGAAGCTGGAGAACTGAGTTACATAATCTTGACATGCCTGAACTGTGTTCCCTAGATTTTTGCTAATACCGTCATAGGGAAAGATAGTTAATGAGGCCTGGGCAAGAGGAGGAGCTGTGCTTTGACTTTATGTACTGCAAATTTTTGGGCAAGTGGATCTTATTTTTTGTTTTATTCCCTGGGATTCTCAGAATGGCAGAGCAAACCCAGTTTAATGATAAAACATGCCACATTTATCACCATATAGGATATATATGAATTTGGTGCTTAAGACATACCTGCTTGTATCTGTTTCTGTATTGAACACTTATTCTGGTCTTACAACCCATTTTTTCTGTTACTATATTTAAATATGAAAAATCAGTTTCTAGGGATGCTAATATCAGTTTTTGTAAGTTTCTTCAGCTTGGGAGTAACTGGTCTTATGGGAAATTTATCAGCTGAAAGCACTTTTCTTTCCTGTTAACTTCATGGTTATGCAGAGATGAAATCTTAAAAGCTTAGAGCCGTCTTTTTTGTTTGATGTTTGATTCAGTTAGTTAGCTACAACTGGTGGCTTTATCAACTGTGTTTTTATTGAAGTGTTTATTGAGGCCTCTACCTCAGATGAATTTTTTTTTTTTCTGTACATAACCCTTATATTTTAAGTTATTGTTGTCTTTTTATCTTTTGTTAAAATTATCTCTTGGTTGTGGACAGAATTTTCATAGGCCGGAGTTCTTAATGAAATGCTATCAACAGGTTTTTGTTTTTTTTTTTAGCTTCTTACGGAACATATATAAAACTTGTTATTTGATAGTATGAAATACACCACTATATTAAAATTTTATCTTTCAATTCATTTAAAACCTTTGCTTTCTGGATAAAACCATCACTTTGTAAAAATCCTTTTATTTCTCTTCCGTCAACACTGATAGCAGTTGTCATTCTTTTCAGGGCTATTTTTCTCCTTTCAAAACAATGTTTTTACCACTTTGGGTGTCACATTAAGAATCAGGGTCTAATGAAGAATAAAGCTGGACTAAGATATGAAAGCACGGTATTCAGCTCTAGAAACTGATTCTGATTCAGTCTAGAAACTGATTCTTTACATGCAAGAGTCAAAATTTTGTTTCAGCCAAATTAATACAGGCCATGGACTTCCACATGTGCCTTCAGTTGGTCAGTTCTTGAGTGTTAAATTTGGAAATGCTAAGTTTCTCGTTTTGGTTTTTAACTGGATTGTACATTAGAATCATTTGCAAACCATTAAGTATTCTCAGGGGATATTCTTAGCTTTTTAGAATGTCCAGGATTGCTACCCATTCAGGTTTTGCAGTTTAGTGAAGCTTCATAGGCAATAAAGAAGTGTGTGTGTATATATTATTTTATTTTATTTTATTTATTCATGTGTGTTTGTATGTATGCATGCATATGTGTGTTGTGCTAAGAATAGACTTAAGAAATTACAGCACTTAAAAAACTGAACTCTGTTGAGGTCTAAGTGAAGTTGTGAAATAGAAACAATAATTAGGGAGAATTACCTATTTTGGATATTAAAATATATAGATACTAAAATATAAGGCTACCGAAAGTAAAACTCTATACAGTGATAAGAATAGACATATTAATGGGCTAGAATGAGAATTTAAATACTGCATATGGTTAAGGTATCATTTAAAATTAGTGGAGAAAGCTAACTTATTCACAAAATGGTATTGTGATACCTAAGCAGCTGTTTGGGTTGGAATCTTAGCTTATTCATTGTGTTTTAATATATTATGGCTTGATTAAGCTATAATAAAAAATGAAACCAGAGTAACACACACACAGACACACACACACACACACACACACACACCCCTAGAAGCAAATACTAAGAGAGCATTTTTTAAAGTCCTGGAATGATAACATCCTTTCTTAGTTTGATACAATATCTTGACACCATAAAGGCAATGATAGTGTGCTGCCCTGCAAAAGAATAAACTCTTTCTTGTCAAAACTGGAAAATACTGTTTGCAAAATGTATCACAAAGGACTAATATTAAGAGTATACAAAGGGCGCTTACAAAGCAGAAAATCACAACAAACCATTCACAAAAGAGCATAAACAGGCAATTCACAGGAAAAGTACAAAATCCCCTAAACATATGAAAAGATTAACAGTCCTACGATAAAGTGTATGTTAAGGAACAAGGTGTTATATATATATATTTTTTCCCTTTTTTGAGACAGGTCGTCCTTCTGTCACTAAGCCTGGAGTGCAGTGGTGAATTCATGGCTCACTGCAGCTGCAGTCTCCCAGGCTCAGGTGATTCTCCTGCCTCAGCCTCCCAAGTAGCTAGGACCACAGACACCATCATGCCCAGCTAATTTTTGTAGAGACGGGGGTCTCTTTCTGTTGCCCAGGCTGGTCTTGAACTCTTTGGCTCAAACGATCCCCCACCTTCACCTCCCAAAGTTCTGTTATAGGTGTGAGCTCCCAGCTGTCATTTTTCTTTTATTAGCTGAAAATTTGGAAGATTTTTGGCTGAGTAGAGTGGAACACATATACTCTTATTCTTTGTTGATGAGAGTATGTATTGGTGCTACTTTTTTTTTTTTTTTTTAGCAGTTTGGCTATATTGATTAGAATCTGAAGTAGTGTATGCATAGCTTTCATTAACTCAGCAGTTCTACTACCAGAAATTTCTCTATTAAAATATTTGAATAATTATTCAAATATGTTTCTATAAAGATAGTTATCAAAGCATTTTATGTAGTAACAAAATATGAAACAATAATCAATTGGTAAGTTAGGGTACATTTTATAATGGAATACAGTGTAACTTTAAAAGAAATGAGAGAGATGTAGATGTCTTAGAAAGATGTCCATTACATAAGTGAAAAAAGCAAGGTACTCTATATAAATACCACTTATGTATCAAAATATATGTGTATTTTAAAAAATCCGTGTGTTTTAGGCATGTAAACACATGCACATACATATACAGGAGGGGTGACAAAGGACACAACACTACTAAGCTGTAAAGAATAGTTACCTCTGGCAAATGACATGAAACATGGGCTAGGAAAGAAAGATGTTCATTTTTTCTTCAAACACGTATTCTTTTTTAAAAAGTTAGTTTGTATTAATACTTTTTAAAAAGAAAACATTTTTCTAAAAAATAAAGTAAGCTCCCAAGCTCCCCTAAGTATTTCTGACACAAACCCATTTTTAAGAACCACTAATTAATTAACGTATTCCTGACTTTTTTACTTACTAGCTTTTGGATCTTAATTACTAGAGCAATCATCTAATCATTTAGTTTTTATCAGGAGGAGGTTGAAATAGATAATAGCTGCCATTTACTGAATGCTTTCTAGGTGGTTTCCTCGAGTCTATTTCAGCTCTAGTATAATTCTATGATTGACCCAGAGATAGTTTATGATAATCAATGGTCTGTGAACACTTTTGATGTAACTATAATTTGTTGAAATTATTGCATTTAAAGTCAATGTTTTCTGTTTTCAACTTTCCCTGGGGAAAATAATGGCAGCAGAACACATGGAAGGGCATGGTAAGTTCAGCTTGAGAACAGCTAAAAACCTGGAGAAAGTTTTGGTGAAAATGTTGTTGATATTTAATCAGCAACCTTCAGTACTTTCTCAGTTATCTGTAAAATGATGACTCTTTCAGTCGAAAGATTTGTCTTAAGGGTGGTGACGTAATGTAGTATGTGGTTTTGTAGTTTCTGTACTGTGAGGGTCAGTTGAAGTGGAAACTTTCTTGAGATGTATTCTTTATTAATATAATAATAGCAGGTGAAAAGAAAATCTTTGAAACTGAAGCCTTCTGAACTTTTTAATGAAATGCAGTCGATTTGGCCCTCTGGAATATAATAGCAAACGTTGAGGATTCCTTTAAATACAGTAAAATTTTACAGAGAATTAAGGAGTAGATTAGAATATTTCATAATCTATGTACATGTTTTCTTGGGTGGATGAAAATATGCTAACAAGTCAATTTTCAGAGGAAATCAGATTGGTGTAAATGTTTTCTGGTTTATTTTTTATCGGTATACCTGTAATAAATTTGTAGTTGACAAACTTTTTTGCCATTTGAGAAGGGATTGCAGTTACTCACAGATTTTGGTACATGGCACATATCATAACCAGACATTTGGCTTTTATGAAAAGCTAAGTATTTCATGGTAGAAAATGTTTTCAAAGCTTAAAAGAATTTTGTATTTTTGGAAGAATCAAGATTGGTTTGCCCCTTGATCTTTGCCCTCATATACTCTTAAGTTAAACATTGGATATGCTATATATTAAGATATTAAATGTTTTTTCACTAGTTATCTATTTACTTTTAACTTGGTGAAACTAACCTTTTTCTCTTTTAAACATTCACTAGGATTCTGATCTTCGAAGTGCACTTCTTTTGGAACAGGCGGCACATTGCTTTATAAACATGAAAAGTCCCATGGTTAGAAAATATGCATTTCATATGATATTGGCAGGCCATCGATTTAGTAAAGCAGGGCAGGTGAGTGCTTTTGCTTTACAATGAAAAGTTGCTATTAATTTCTTTTATAAATGTGTGTCATTTGTCCATTTTTTGTTATTTAAAATGAATCTTGAAAACTAAATGAAATTTTGTTCTGAGGTAATTTATTGGTAAGGGCATGAGATTTAGATTTAGACAAATCTGGCTATGAATTTTGATCTTCTATTCACAACTTTGGTCAGGCTGCTTCTCTGAGCCTCAGGGTTTTTTTATTTATAAAATTTGTAATTTTACTCAAATTTTGGTTAGGTTAAACTAAATCACATTTGTGAAAAGCCAGATAGATTGTATGCATTCAAGTAGGAATGAATTCTCCCTATTTCAGCTCTGATCTTCTGTTCTCTCTCAAAGTAATTTTTAAAAAAATCCTGCTCTTTCTGTTTCAGAGTGCTTTATAATGCTATTGACTAAATACTTAATGTATAGACATCTTCTGTCTCTTGTCTCTTGAAGCAGTTGAGTTGCTGGGATCTTTACTGATTTATAGAGATTTATCCAGCCCCAGTTGTCCTAGAACCATTAGTCGGAGAGAGCTAGCTTTCTTGGAGGCTGAGAGTAGCAGTAGGGAAATGGTGATTTACTATAAATATAAATAGAAACTTGGATTAAACAACCATTAAACAACCATCTCTATATTTCAGAGACTATACTAGGAGCTGAACATACACCCATAAAATCAACATGGTCTTACCTCTTAAGGAGCTTTTGATCTATTAGGGGCATATGAAGGTCTTTTAAAAATTTAGTTAATATGGGCCGGGCGTGGTGGCACACTCCTGTAACCCTAGCACTTTGGGAGGCTGAGGTGGGTGGATCACGAGGTCAGGAGATCGAGACCATTCTGGCTAACACAGTGAAACCCCGTCTCTACTAAAAATACAAAAAAAAATTAGCCAGGCGTGGTGGCGGGCGCCTGTAGTCCCAGCTACTCAGGAGGCTGAGGCAGGAGAATGGCATGAACCTGGAAGGCAGAGCTTGCAGTGAACTGAGATTGTGCCACTGCATTCCAGCCTGAGCGACAAAGCGAGAATCCGCCTTAAAAAAAAAAAATTTAATATGAATATACTAAGTATGAAATGTAACTGTGAACATCCTTACATTTTTGTAAGTCTGTGCTAACCAAAGCATCCCAGTGTTTTACACAATATACATTATTTCAAAGGTACAAAGAAAAGTAAAGATGTTCGAAATTACTGTCAATTTCATGTAAAAATACTATACTTTTTTAAAACCAACATTTCAAAATTGGGTTCCTTCCTCTCTTTTTGGAACCCGTGGAAAGTTAGAAAATATGTGGAATTGCTTAATGTTCATTGAAAAAACCTTTCAAATCTTAATATAAAATTAAATGTCTTTATAATAATTGATACACTCCATGAATTAGAATTTCTCAGGCTCTAACATGGAAAAAACTTAAAAAAAAGATAACTATTATTACTTTTCATGGCTTTTCTTCAGTAGTAAGTGCAAGTGCATCTGAAACATGTTACCCCACTGTGTATCTCTGGTTAAAAGGTTTCTGTTCAAAAAATGACAAAATGTATTAAGCAGGTTTCCTTTGCTTGAAAGAAAATATATGTCCCATTGGGAATGGTCTGTTGTCTCCTATTGAAAATAAGTCATCATTTTTCTACATCTTTGTCCACTTTTATGAATGGTTTCATTTGTGAGAATGGTAATGTCATTGGAACTAGAAACAGCTGCTTGTATCTTACCTTCCCAAATTATAGGGCATATTGCTTCTAGGAAATACCTAACAAGTTAAAAATGCTACGTTTGTGGTAGGTTGAGATATATTTGCTGTCTTGCTTGATAATCATCTTCTTACTGTAGCATATAACCCTGTGAAGTTAATGATTCAAGGTAGCTGGGTTTGCTATTTCATGACCACTCTATACACTCTGAACCCAAGACAGCTCTTCCACGAAACAGTACAGTTTGTGGAAATCTGAGAATATGACTATAAATTAAGATCTACTGGATAAGTCAATACAATATATATCTAACTGAAGCTGGCCAAGAACAGTCTCTTCCTTGGAAGTTAGGGTGCATAGAACACATATAATTCTGACTGAGGCCGAGTTTCTGAGAAGCACCAACTTTTTATTATTTAAAAAAAAATTTTAAGTTCCAATGTACATGTGCAGGATGTGCAGGTTTGTTACATAGGTAAACGTGTGCCATAGTGGTTTGCTGCACCTGTCAACCCATCACCTAGGTATTAAGCCCAGCATCCATTAACTCTTTTTGCTAATGCTTTCCCTCCCCCTACCCTACCCCGCAACAGGCCACAGTGTGTGTTGTTCTCCTACTGTGTCCATGTGTTCTCATTGTTCAGCTCCCACTTATAAGTGAGAACATGCGGTGTTTGGTTTTCTGTTCCTGTATTAGTTTGCTGAGGATAATGGCTTCCAGCTCCATCCATGTCCCTGCAAAGGACATGATCTCTTTCCTTTTTATGGCTGCATAGTATTCCATGGTGTGTATGTATGTGCCACATTTTCTTTATCAGTCTATCATTGATAGGCATTTGGGTTGATTCCATGTCTCTGCTATTGTGAATAGTGCTGCAATGAACATAGGTGTGCCATAAAACAGAATTCTCCTGCCTCAGCCTCCCGAGTAACTGGGATTACAGGCATGCATCACTACGCTCAGCTAATGTTGTATTTTTAGTAGAGGCGAGGTTTCTCCATGTTGGTCAGGCTGGTCTTGAACTCCCAACCTCAGGTAGTCTGCCTGCCTTGGCCTCCCAAAGTGCTGGGATTACAGGCGTGAGCCACCATGCCTAGCTTTGACTTTTTAATAATCACCATTCTGACTGGCATGAAATGGTATCTCATTGTGGTTTTGATTTGCATTTCTGTAATGATCAGGTTTTGATTTGCATTCCTCTAATGGTCAGTGATGTTGAGCTTTTTTTTTTTTTTCATGTTTGTTGGCTACATAAATGTCTTCTTTTGAGAAGTATCTGTTCATGTTCTTTGCCCACTTTTGGATGGGGTTGTTTTTTTCTTGTAAATTTGTTTAAGTTCCTTGTAGATTCTGGATATTAGACCTTTGTTAGATGGATAGATTGCAAAAATTTTCTACCACTCTGTAGGTTGTCTGTTTGCTCTGATGATAGTTTCTTTTGTGGTGCAGATGCTCTTTCATGGTTTGGTTCTCTGCTTGTCTGTTGTTGGTGTATAGGAATGCTTGTGATTTTTGCGCATTGATTTTGTATCCTGAGATTTTGCTGAAGTTGCTTATCAGCTTAAGAAGCTTTTGGGCTGAGACAATGGGGTTTTCTAGACATAGGATCATGTCATTTGCAGATGAAGACAATTTGACTTCGTCTGTTTGTATTTGAATACTCTTTATTTCTTTCTCTTGCTTGATTGCCCTGGCCAGAATTTCCAATACTGTGTTAAATAGCAGTGGTGAGAGAGGCATCCTTGTCTTGTGCTGGTTTTCAAGGGGAATACTTCCACCTTTTGTCCATTCAGTATGATATTGGCTATGGGTTTGTCATAAATGGCTCTTACTATTTTTTTGTTTGTTTGTTTGAGTTGGAGTTTCGCTCCTGTTGCCCAGGCTGGAGTGCAATGGCGTGATCTTGGCTCACTGCAACCTCTGCCTCTCGGGTTCAAACAATTGTCCTACCTCAGCTTCACAAGTAGCTGGGGTTACAGGCACCCGCCACCACATCCGGGTAATTTTTTGTATTTTTAGTAGAGACGGAGTTTCACCATGTTGGCCGTGCTGGTCTTGAACTGCTGACCTCAGGTGATCCGTCCACCTTGGGCTCCCAAAGTGCTGGGATTACAGGCGTGAGTCACCACGCCTGGCCAGCTCTTACTATTTTGAGACATGTTCCTTTGATACCTAGTTTATTGAGAGTTATTAACATGAAGAGATGTTGAATTTTATCAAAAGTGTTTTCTGCATCTATTGAGGTAATCATGTGGTTTTTCTCTTTAGTTCTGTTTATGTGATAAATTACCGTTATTGATTTGCGTATGTTGAACCAGCCTTGCATCCCAGGGATGAAGCCAACTTGATTGTGGTGGATAAACTTTTTGATGAGAAGCACCAACTTTTCATGACATTTGAATTTAAAACAGGGTTGTATTGATAGGGATGAGAGAAGAAGTTACAGAGTAATGCCGTTTCTCTTAGTCCTCTCTTTGAGAATTCATGCTGAATTGCTTATCTTGCCCCAGAAGTGTGTGTGTATGTGTGTGTGTGTGTTGCCCAGCCTGGATTGCAGTGGCGCGATCTCGGCTCACTGCAACCTCCACCTCCCGGGTTCAAGCGATTCTTTTGCCTCAGCCGCCGGAGTAGTTGAGACTACAGGTACGTGCCACCACACCTGGCTAATTTTTGTATTTTTAGTAGAGATGTGGTTTCACCATGTTGGCCGGGCTGGTCTTGAACTCCTGACCTTGTGATTTGCTCACCTCAGCCTCCCAAAATACTGGGTAATTACAGGCGTGAGCCATTGTGCTTGGCACGACAGAAATTGTTTATAGTTCAATTATTTTTCATTAAGAATATCAGAAAGTAAAGTGCATTTTAAAAAGAAGTGGCGTGAAAGTTTAGTCAGTTAAAAAAAAAATTAAAATGCTGGGGAAGAGTGTATGTGATTAGACAACCTTTCTTTCTGTTCTTACTATAAAAAACTGACTCAAACCTTGTACCTCATTTAAATTTCTTTTCCAAAAAAATCTTCAAAAATACACTTGAACACTTTCGAAAATCCACTTGAACACACAGACACATTCGATTGTTTTTCTGTATCTATCAGTTTTTAATAATGTGTTCCTTTACTAAATGCTAAAGATAGGGTTGCTTTTTTTTTTTTTTTCCCAAGAAACATCACTTAAAAATTAATTTAGAAACAGGCCATGCATGTTGGTTCACACCTGTAATCCCAGCACTTTGGGAGGCCAAGGTGGGCTGATCACCTGAGGTTTAGAATTTGAGACCAGCCTGAC